TATTATTTAAATAGTAAATTTATTATTTAGCTTTTTTGATTACTGTTTATGTGTCCGCATATTTAATGGTGACTTTAATTATAGTACAGTATTTAGTAGATATTTATAAAAATTATTCTATTACAATTTATATTTTACATGAAAAAATTAACAATTATTTTGTTTTTCATTTGTATCATAATTGAATTAATTTCAATTTTACTACTTTCAAAATTGAATTAATTTTTGCTATTCATGCAAATTAATACTGCTGTATTTATGCCATTCAAAATACAATATTAAAGTGTGAATTATGATAAGCTATTTTGAAAATAATTTAAGCACTGACAAAGTTTAATAATAATTAAATATAATTTTGTTTTAAAACATTAATTATTACATTATAATTCATGATGCATATAACTGCTAGTATATTTTGTATCTCAGTAATTTTATTGTGTATTTTAGTGAATTTATTATTCAACTCAAAGCAGATCACTGACCAGGGTAAATAAAATAAATAAATTAAAATAACAAATATTTTTATTTACAAATCTCAGTTATTTTCGTTTAAAATGAATGCATTAATTATTTGACAGATGTAACAATAATACAAACTAACGTTATTTCAAGTGACAAACAAACTCGTATAAAGACATTAAAGCAAATTATTGGACATGGTAATTAACTTTTAATATTTATATTCGCTAACATGAATTTATAAAGCTAAAATAAAAATCAACCTAGAGAAAATAAATGCCACCTTGACGAATACAACCTATCTATCAAGTCTACCCTGTCGTACCAGCCCGGGAAGTGCTCTAAATATTACTGCCATTTATATCATGGGCATCTCGGTTGATAGACCAAGGGCGTGCAATGGTTACTCTAGGTGCAAACACTCATTAACGTTTTTGTGTGTCCACTATAATCCCACCATGGTCACACCTATTACAAGCGAAAACAATACGCGTGTGGCCTTTAGTATTAACGGTATCTAAAATTAACTAGCTATTTATTAAACAAGTTAGTAATTTTTAAATGTTTAAATAGTAATTTATAACGAATTAAGCAAAAGTTATATTAGTTAATTTATTTTTATAACGTTTATTACTACCCGAAATTATCATATCAAGGTGATAAACTGACACACAATAGTGGCTTGGTAACTGTTGGACCATGCGCGGGTTCTACATTTACTGAATATTCAGTTCACCGTGGTTATCCAAACAACGGATGTCACAATGGGGAAGGTATTTTGACCAGAATTGCGCTATATCGATTACTGGAAATACGTGGCTCGTGTAATATCACATGCACCGTTGATAATAATGGTGAATTTGTATATGTTACGTACAATCCTGTAATTAATTAAACCGACATTTATTATAAACGTATATTTAATTATTGATGTCATTTATTTTCAATATTTATGACATTAAGACATGATAATTTTATTACCATGTTTTAAGATTTAGCAATTTTAGTTTAAAAATTTTTAATTAAATTTTTTCAAAAATAAATATAACCATTACCATATTAAAACATGTGTGTAAAATTCGTGAATTGTTAATTAGATAAAGTATTAACAATATTATTTTAAGTTAATTGTAATTGTAAGCAATACAATACAGTTTACGGATTATTTTTGTATTTTCCTATTTTACCAAAACATTTACAAAATACAATAAATTGGAAAGTAAACTTAATTTTTACAGTAATTTCTACCAGCAATATAAAAATACCAGTTATTGTATATTAAAAATTCCCAGCTTTTAAATTTATAATTAGTAATTTACTTATTTCTTAACAAACTTAATCACAGATAATTGAGCTCTTATAAACATAAACCACGGCTTTTAACATAAAATTATGTTTATTCTGAATTTATTATGATTTTATAAAAGTGTAAATTTATTTCATATTTATAATAAATAAACTTTAATGTATACAAATTAGATTACATTTGGTTTACTTGTCAATATGTGTAATAATGTGTTTAATATATCAACCAATAAATAATAGTAATTATATTTTTAAATTCATCAAAAATTTCTAATTTAAGTTTGCTCGTACTTTCAACAAATTTAAAAATATGTTGTTAGAAATTTTAATATTTTCATAAATTTATTGTTTGAAGTCATTTAAAACTGATCATGAAAAAATAATTATTAATACACTAATTTTTTATTCAATTAAACTGTAAATATGCTAAAATTATGCATTTATAATAAACATAATATTTATTGTAAAAACAATTTGGAATATAAGGACTCTTGTCTCATTTATAAAATGCAATTAGTTAAAATTGGGTAATATGTGCTACATAATTTGGATAAACTAAATTGTTTAAAAATTTTACATATTAATAATTTGGTCATTGTGAATTAAATTCGGAAAATTTTTAATTTAAGCGATGTTAATAAAAATTTGACAAAATTGTTTATAAGATTGATTAAACCAAAAAATATTTTTATCAAGACAAAATTTATTGACAAAAATTGTTTAAATCGGAATTTGCTGGAGACGACTATTATATCTAGATTTGCTTCATTAAGCTTTACCCTGGTTGTTTATCGCCGTGTCAAGTGTGACAGGAGATGCGGAGTCTAGAGAGCACGTGGTCTGACATTTATCGCCATAGATTGAGGCACTCATATGTGTCACACGAAGTGTATTCAGTGAATACTCAGCACAGGCTAACGGGTTGTCCGATGTGTATACGGTCTGTACGTATAGTAAGTCCCCTTTGCATCGGCCAGAGGTTATGGGACCCAAATTCAACTCAAACATATTGCCTAATATTTAATTACAATTAGTTTATATAATGCAATATTAAAATTATTATTTGAATTATTAATAATACTAACCATTGACTGATGAAACAACCTGGTTGCAATTTTCTACAGTCAAATCCTCTCCGAGTCCGTTAAAGTATGCGCTGAATGTATACGGGATTTGTCTGAAGTGAAAGCCACTGCACGACAACTCCATGGGATGGGAGACAGCGTTCAGTGCTATACCAGTCAATTGGTTCACACCATTGGACACACATTTCATGTGTTTATTCACGGTAACAGTGGTGTTGACAAACGGGGTAAACGCTATTCAATAACAAATTAATAATTAAAACATGTATTTAATTGCATAAATTAGGTTATAGAGAATAAAATAGTTTGAACATGGTTAAAACAATTGAATAATTTGTACCTAGCAGATATTCCAAGTGATTGGGTTTTGTGGGATCCGATGGCCCAAACTCTTTTAAATCAACTTCCAATCGACGGACAGTTTGCTTATAGTCGGCGGACACCGGGTGCCGACAATCGGCCTGTAATAACTGATCAAGGTCCACTTTCATTGTTGTCGGAGTTGCACCCGTATCTGATGACCCAGTAGATACCGGTGGTTTTTGTTGGCATTGGCCCCTGTAGTTAAAAATGTCCAACAGGTGCAAGAAATTGCCAATTATACCACGTTTCTCAATACTCGCGCCATAGGCTGCTTGAGCGGTTAGGCCTATTATTTTGGTTTATTTGTGATGTTAATTATAATTATTTTATAGTAGCTAGTTATTTTTATTATAATAAAGTAACTTACATAATGCCAATGCAACCAATACTAAACACTTCATGTTTATAATAATTTATATAATTAATAAATTGTTATAATTTTATTGTAAAGTGTTTGATATAATTCTTGTGCTTATATACCACAAAAAATTACTTAAATTTTGTACCTAATTATTTTTTATACTTGATCATTTGTCCATTGATTAATTATATAACATAATTTTTAAAACATTTGAAACAAATACCGTAAATCTATGCACATTTTGTTTATTTGAATTATTATGGTCATAAAACTAATCGTTCTTGATTGATTTTATTTATATAATTTTAGTTAAATACATCTGGATTCTTATAATTAATTATCGCATTTGAATTGTACTAATTTTTTTCAACATCATTATTGCATAACAATATTGATGTGATTAATTATGAAAATTAACGCGAGTACTTTCACTTTTTAAATCAGCATTAAATAATTTATTAGAATATTTATATAGTTGAATTTGCTCAAATGGTTCATCGCTGGCCCTAATTCATCTTTGATTATGATCATAAATGTAATTACATTTATTTTAAAAATTAACAATATCTTATATACATAAATGAATTTATGAATATAATATAACAGCATTTTTATTTTTTAATTATAATATAATCATTATACTATATTTACATACTGTACTAGCAATTAATTAAAACTATTATTAAAAAATAAAATTTTGCAAAAAATAAAATTTTATACGTTATATATACGCAATATAAATTATATATTGTATATTGTATAATATTGTATAATTCCATAGTTTTAGAAACTGTATTGTTTTATAAAACCAAAAGTAGTTTTATAAAAATTTGATCAAAAAATAATAAAAAGGTGTTGATTGCGAAATGGTTGAATTTTTGTAACTATTTTTTTATTATTTATGTTTCTATTAAATATTGTACACGGTATGGATCAAAGGGTTTAAATGCATATTATTTAAATTAATATCTGTTATTCACAAGATAAATCGTAGTCGTGATAATATTATGTTAATATTGTATGTTTGCAAATTTGGCTTTTCAGGCATAATTTTATATTTAAACATTTAAGATAAATACCAAAGAACTTGGTCAAAGATTTTTACTGTAAAAATATTTGCAAAGATCTATAATAAGTGACATTAATTATATCTTGGTTCATAATCTAATGCACTTATTAAAGCGGTAATAAACTAATATCAGTTCCTTATCTAGTTATTTAAATATATTCATTCGCAAATTGCAGTTTCAAATTCCGGCTAAAAATTCATATAAATTATCACAAGACAAATACAATATACAAAATAATAAATATATTATACTAAATAAATATAATAAATAAGTAATATAACTTATAAATAAAATATTAAAATTAAATGCTTAAAAATTTATTTTGAGAACAATTAAAATTGATAAAGAATTATAATTCAAACATAATATATTTTTGTCAAATATATTTAAACAATTGATATGTATTTAAGCTTGACCATGGTTGTTTAAAGCGGGACTAATAGTAACGGGAGTTGCGGTATAGTCTGAGCACTCGGTCGGACAATTGTCGCCATAGATTCCGGCACTCATATGGGTTATACGCAGAGTATTGAGGGTCTGTTCAGCACAGGCTAACGGGTTGTCCGATGTGTAGACGGTCTGCACGTATAGTAAGTCCCCTTTGCATCGGCCAGAGGTTATGGGACCCAAATTCAACTCAAACATATTGCCTGATATATAATCAAAATTAGTTAAATAAAATGTACTATTAAAATAATAATTTGAATTTTTAATAATGCTAACCATTGACTGATGAAACCACCTGGTTGCAATTTTCTACAGTCAAATCCTCCTGTTGCCCATTGAAGTTAGCGGCAAATGTATACGGGATTTGTCTGAAGTGAAAGCCACTGCACGACAACTCCATGGGATGGGAGACAGCGTTCAGTGCTATACCAGTCAATTGGTTCACACCATTGGACACACATTTCACACTTTTAGATACGCTTACAGTTGTGTTGACAAACGGAGTGAACGCTGTTTAATAAAATTAAAATAGAAGCATATATAAAATTTAATTAACATAGTAATTAAAACAAAAACAAAAATAATTACCAAGCAGATATTCCAAGTGATTGGGTTTTGTAGGATCCGATGGTCCGAACTCTTTTAAATCTACGTCCAATCGACGCAACGTTTGCTTATAATTGGCTGATAGCGGGTGTTTGCAGTCAGACTGTAATAATTTATCAAGGTTTGTTTTCATGGCTGTCGGTGCGGCACTAGTACAACTGGTTTGTGTTTGACCATGCTGATTCAATGGGTTCAGATGTTTGAGAATGTTGCCAATCAAATGGCGTTTTTCAACGTTTGCGCCGAAAGTCAATTGAACGGTTAGGCCTGTATATATTTAATTAAAATTGTTATGGTAAAAATAATTTATATTGAGTTGCAAAAACTTACATAAAGCCAATGTCGCCAATAATAAACAATTCATGTTGCAATTAGAATCTAAACACTTTATTTGCTAACAAATAATTATTGTTATTTAAAATGTTTGTAATATAATTTCTAAACTTTAAAACGCTTATATACCTTAAAATATTTATTTGGTGGATTTACCAATTAATTTTAAATCATCCGTACCATATATTAACATTTTTAATTTTTTGCATATCTATATTATCAATACTGTATAGATTAATTAACAAAATTTTAAAAATCATCTGTTTTTTATAATTAATTAGCGATACTATTATTAATTGTTAACAACAACAAAACTAACACAAAAGTTGGCATGATTAAGTGATAAAATGCTCTAAAGTTCTATATATAACCAAATACAGTATTTGAAATACTCAAAATTGTATGCCAAGTTATTTTTCATAGTTAAGGGAAAGGCCAAGTGGTTTTTTTTATAAATTTTTAATGTCATGAAAATAAAATAATAACAATAATTTAAAGGTACATTTAAACTATTATAATCTCGTAAACTCTTGTCTCCAAATTGCTGTGTATTACATACAGTCAGTTATATTGAGATATGTTACTATTTGTTACTGTTATACCATAAGGTATTATGTATAAAAAGGCACCAAATGTTCGAGGGACAAGAGGTTGCGAAAAAATATTATATATTTTAGTGTATGTTTTGCAAGTATTTTTTTGTATTTTAATAATGAGTGAGAATATTTAATAGCATCTATTATAAGATAATTTTAATTGTGTCATTAACATTATGCATGTAAAATGAAATTAATAAAACATTTTTATTAGAACAAATATTAATAATGTAAATACAAAAAATATCATTAATAATTTGATAATTTTATTAAGATCATAATAATAATTATTAATAATAATTTATATATTAAAACATCATTTTATGGTATCTAGTATTAACTAATTAGTATTATATTAATACACATTGATGCTTTAGTTATTAGTTATAAGTTATATGTTATAACTTATAACTTATAATATATTTTTGGGTGAAATGATTGTAAATTCAATGAAAACGAGTGAAGTCTTGCCTGAAGGGGTGGTCATCGGGAAAGCGGGCACTCATTTCTATAGCACTGGTCTCTCATTATATAAACCATACATTCATTGCCACAGAAATGCAATTAATAAACCAATTGTTGTATTTTCTATATTAATATTCTCTATTATCCGTGAGTAGAAGAGCACCGATTGAAGCACGCACATGCTCAGTAGGGATCTCTAACCAAGAGTCGATGACGGGAGGGGGAGGGAAGGGGGTATGAACAGAATATAAATAAATGAAAGTTTTAATTTAATCCAAATAATTTTATTAATAATTTTTTCAAATGATTTAAAGTTTAATTCATTACAAAAAATTTATAAATAAATTAATTAAATGTTTTCAAAACCAGAGTCGTCTTCATAGCCAACCATCAAAGCCATACCCGAGTCATCCATATACCAGAGTGTGGTCGAGTCCTCCACATGTTCTTCTATGTTGGCCGCATTACCCATTCCTGGATGAAAATTATTTGACCACCAGTGTCTCGGATGAACTTCGATGAGGTCTTCCGGATCTACTGACATCGAATCTTCAGGGACATAATAGTCCATCACTTGCCGCGGTCTAAGCCTATCAGCTATAGTGGATAGCCTATCAGCTATAGCTATCA